GGGGGTTGCTGGCTCAGGGCTGGGAGGGAGGAAGGCTGAGGGGCAGGAGGGCAGAGCCTGCGGGGCAGGGCCACCCTGTGTGCAGCTGCCTGTGCAGGGAGGGGGACCTGGGAACCGAGGGAGGGAAGGTGTGCATGTGACCCACCCAGGCCTGGTAGGACAAGGAGTGGGGATGGTTCTTGGAGAGGCCTACCACCTTGTCGGGGATGGTGGGGTGTAAGTGCAGGAGGGGACCCTGGGTTTCCACTCCCCGACCTTGTCTGTCAGTCCTGGCACCCTTCACTCCCTGCATGCTGGGTGCCGGAGGCAGGGGCAGGTGAGGGTGTTGGAGTGTCTAGAGGAGACTGTCAAGGGCTGGGAAAGAGGGTGGGAGGGAGGACAAGTGGGAGCATCTTCCTCCTTCACAGAAAGGCCAAATCTGCTTTTGGAGCAACTGAGGAAGGAGAGTCCTCAGGGAGCAAACAGCAGTTCTCTGCAGCAGCTGACCGTTTCCTGGTTCCTCTTTCCCCCAGAGCTCATGAGTGTCCACATCCAGGATCCACAGCAGACGGTCAACACGGGACCAGAGGGCACCGGACAGCCGGGAGTTCGGTCTCTGCTTCAGCCCCTGGAACCACAGGCTGAAGTGAGGGGCCCTAGCCTGGGACAGGGGCGGGGACTCACTCTGCCTGGTCTCACCTGCGTGTTCTCTCTTGGTGCCTCAGTTTATTCCTATTTTAGGATGAGTAGATTAAAAACATTATTTAGGTGAGGTGTTGCTATCCCAGGTTAGTTACTGTCATTGTTTTTCTTGCGTGGTGTCATTTTCCTCAGTTATAATGGGAGGTGTAATGTACACAGTAATTACACTATTATTAGTGAGATTTGTCTGTAAGTGATCTTACTATGGTTCCTCCTGAGGAGCCCAATTCTGGGTTTCCTGGCACCTGGACGTCCCCTCACTGCCGTCACTCTTATCGCTAACTCATGTCTACTGTGTCCGTTTATTTTAACATTAAATGTTTAAATGTTTCTCAAAGATTCATTTCTTTCCTGTGTGTCATTTCATGTGTCTGAGAAGGGACAGAATATGAGGTTCAGGGGAGGCAGAGAGGTCTGTCTGGATGACTTGGTGGGAAGAGCCCCTCCCTCCCCAGCTCACAGTGACTGACAGATCCACAGCCCATCACAAAGGGACCTCTGGGGCCTCCACTCAGGGCTGACCCTGTGGGAACATCTGCCCTGAAGGGTTGGAGCCCTGGGGTGGGGATGATGGAGCAGAGCTGAAGTGTGCTGTCAGGAGAGGGGAGGGGACAGCGCTTTGGGGCTCCTGGATTATGAGCAATAGGGGTCCATCTGCTCCTAGAGAGGTGTGGACCCAGCCGCTGAGAATCAAGAGCAGGACTGTGGGTGAATAAGGCAAACACAGCACCTCCCGCAGCAGCTCAGACACATCTGGGCGAGGGAGGTGGGAGGTGATGTGGCACACCCCCGTCTCTCAGTCCTCCCTGCCTCTGGTCTGGGGCACACAGAGAGGTGGAGCCCTTCTGGATCAGGAAACCAGCCCCACCAGGTAAGGCAGTGGTGGCAGAGAGCGCTGGGGCCACCTGTCGGTCAGATCAGGGCAGAGCCTGGGAGCCCTCTGTGCAGCAGGAGGGGGAGGGGACCTGCCTGGAAAGGAGAAGGGTGAGGGGCCTCGCCTGGGTGCACAAGTCAACAGGAAGGGCGTCTGGTAGAGAGTTTATGTATGTGCTGTTCATTCAGACGTGTGCACAGAGGTAGGTTTTCATGTTGTTTAATTTGGAGTTGATGTCTTTCACACATGCGTGCGTGTGTGTTATTTGTTCAGGTGCTAGCTATCATATTTTAGTTAACTGTTGAGTGTCATTTGTTTTCCTCCATAATCATTAATCAAAACCTTTCATATTCATTGAATTTTTGTCTTTTTTATTCAGTGGAAGTTACGACTGTCCATAATTGAAAGAGTCAAATATTTTTTGCAAGATTTCTCAAGGAAAATAGATTCCTCTGTGCTTCTCAATTTCTACCTTCCTAGAGGCAACTCTTCTCAACATTTGTAGCTGATTTTTTTTTTTTTAATTTGCTCTAGAGTGAGTGAGCCAATGTGGGGAGGGGAGAGTTGGGGAAGGAAAAGTGAAAAAGGACCCCACCTCACACTGGGGTTGGTTACATTGCACTTCCTTCTCCACCATTTTCCTCTTTGGATTTTCGACATCTACACACATATGCCTAGCCTGTTTTTCTTTTCTTTTTTTATTATTTTAATTTATTTTATACATTCAATCACTATACATCACTTAGCTCATAAAGTGAATTTACCCAACATGATTATACTTCACACCACTCCATGTGTGAAGTATGCATGTCATCATCAACAGATAATAATCCATTTTTGTGTCTCATAAATGTCTTGCCTCTCTGTTTTTCTCCTTAATTTCTTTCCTCACACCCTCTCAGTCCTCCCTCCCTCTTTCCACTCTATCTCCAGTATCCATAACCATTTTCCATGCTTCTGTATCCTCTAAACCTTTCAGTTTTTGCCATAGAGTGTGGACAATTGGTATATATTAAGTGGAGACATACAATGTCTCTCCTT